GACACGGTGTACAGCCTCGCTTTCAGCGCGGATGGGACTCTACTGGCTTCAGGAGGTCTGGACAGTAGTGTGAGGGTGTGGGACTTTGGACAAGCCGTGAAGACTTCTAGTAACAGCAACTCTAGCGCTGCTGTGTCCCCCGAATTAATGGCTTCCTTCCCAACTAAGAACTGTTCAGTTCACTGCGTGCAGTTTAGCAGCTGTAATTTAGTTCTTGCGGCTGGCTCACAAACGCCTTGAGGGGGGATAGGGTGGGGGAAGGGCAGCGGCGACATCCGAACGCTTGAAAAGGTGCCGAAAACCTTCCGACTCTATTGGAGCCAATCATGTCCGAAAGTTTCTTGTTAGTATGCTGTCGATGCACAGGCGGGAAATAAGCACGGGAAGCGAGCGCGAGAAACAAGCGCGGAGAGCAAGGGTAGGAAAAAACGCGTGCGTGGACCACACGCTAGAAGAAAGAAGCGAAAAGGTCTATTTTTCTTTCTCTACCTCCCTCTCGTTCCATTTAGACCTTCGCCAATTCATCTACCCACAAAGCATCTAATAGTATACCACAAAAGTTTGCAATGTTTTGTTTATAAAGTGTATCGAGGGATTCGCTGACTTGCATAGTGAGATACTGACAAAATTAAATTTGATCATGGCACACCAGACAGATTTGTTATCAAATTTTAAACACAATCAGGGGTATTTTGCTGCAGTTTTTTGTCAAACCCGACGAAGTACTTACCGAAGGACATACCCTCATTCACGAAAAGCGATTTTATGAAAAGAAAAAAGTCCGTCTACAAACTCATGGGTTGGCGGGGGGGAACATTACGAACCATCGACAGACAACGAAACACTCTTTCTTGAAGGTGTGCGAAAGTATTGTCATTTAATAGCTAGCCAGAGAAATTCTAAACCACTGACCAAAGTCGGGGGAACTCATTTTAAGATTTCTACAGGTTTTAACTATTGTGTTTATAGCAACCCTCTTATGATCAATGAAAAGTGCTTTCTGTAAGAAAGATCAAGGTAAATTTAAAGTGTAAACTGGCTGAGCAAATTTCTGCATGTTTCCACATAACTTCTATCACTGACGGCCCCAAAGAACGGCTGCGGCCCCCTTGAAAAGGAGAACAATTTTCATTCCTTGTTGAAGATTACAGCCCCAAGACAAATAAGATCACAGAGTCAAATTGCTTTTATTAATTTTCATTCATTTTACAGCTTTAGTTTTCTGCTCTACATTTATTCCTGTACAAAAAATGACTTGAGTCGTATTTACAGCACTCCTGAGAAACTTGTAGCAACAAAAATAATAAAGATTGATTAGAGCGCAATGCTTTATTGGAGGCAAAAGATGAACATCCAAGTTTCTTTGTAAAAACTATTCCAAAAAAAAAATACGTGCTTATAAATTTTACATATTTGGAAAGAAACATAAGCGTTTTTAAGACTATAAACAGGAAGCGAGTGCAATCATATACCTTCGCCAATGAGAAAGGTTTTTTGTTGGGTTTCCTAACTTTTCAGCCAATGAGAGAGAGGAAAGAACCGCACGTAAGGCCGGTTGATTGAACACTAAGCTTGGCTTTTGATTGGCTTAGCGGTCAGGGAAACCAACTATGTGCATGGCAGTGGTATAGAACACCGCTTCAACAAATAATTATTAATAAATATCTAACACACACGATTCTGATATATGCGGAAATTATCGCTTTTCGTATTAATTCTTTCACTAAAAACTGTTATTGCATTCTTCCTTACATCCAAGACACTACGTCAAGCCCACATTCTAAACGCACGAACATACACTTCAAGTTTGATAAATAGCTCGCATAAGTGAATTGCGTGATGTGTAATCCCAAAATTGTCGCGCCTAACGCAGCGTCCACACTACGCCGGAGAAATTTCAAAACGCAGCTTTATTTCTGCTGTTAGACCTACCGTCCACACTAATCCGTCACCAAAACGCCATTCAAACCTGAGGAATTTGAAACTGCCGGCTTTTCGTTCTCGTGTGGACGGAAAACATTTTGAAAACAGAGATTTTCGAAAACAATGGCTTTACGATAATCACGTGATTTCCCTGACCGAGTTTTACTCGAACACAAATCCAAAATGACCGGTGATCGTTGCGTTTCTAAATTCCTCTGGTGTAGTGTGGACGGAAAACATTTGATGCGTTTTCAGAGTGAAATCTCCTCCGGTGTAGTGTAGCAGAATGATGGAGATAACTCAAGGATGGAAACGGGCTGTAATTTTGTTGGGCACTATGTTGAACTGTGTGTCCGGAGGTCGAGTCACGACTGGCTTATCTTAAAAAAACTTAGCTTCTTCGTCTTCGCTCGTATTCAGATACGCCTTCATCTTACCCGGTCTTAACCAACATCGTTTCTTCTTGGTTTATTAGTGCCTCTTTCGTAATTTTCTAACATGATGTACCATAACCATAACGAAGCGGTTTTCTTCAATTAAGAGATATTTTTAAACATTGCAAAGTTACTTAAATATACGATGATGTCACTTCAAAACAAAATTACAAATAACAAATATCGCGTTGACATGTTTGAACAAAACAGCGTGATAGACTAACCGTTTCATGAATGAGTATGTTCTTTTCTAGAATTTGTTATGATAGTCCAATTGAATGTTATTAAAAACTGGATCACTGGATAACGCAATTCAAGAGTTTTCATTGGCTTAACCATCATGGTATATGGACGATTATACCATGCTCTACAAATATGCTAAGCCTTCGCGGATTTTTTTTTTT